CAACCAGAAACAAACTGATGTTGCCCGAGTCCAAGCCACTTCCTATGTAAAGCACCTCCATTGCCAGGCAGGGAACAGCCACAATTTTCGGGATTGGGGTTCGAGTGGAGCTCGTTTCAATGTTGCTCTGACCATGTCTGCTCAGAAGCCGCGGTAGTCGAAGCCGCGACGCCGTGAGAAATCCCGACACCCTCGCCGGGGGGCGAACGGCATGTTTGAGCGAGACGCCGGCGACCGAAGAAGCGACTGTTCGGAAGCGAGATGTTGGGCTTTATGATGTCAACATCGTATCAAGTGACCCCTGTGAAAGCAGTAGTCGATCTCTTAAGAAGTGGGTGAATCCATTGGGAAACCTTGGTCATGGTCTTCTTCTTCATCATCTTCTTTTTCCTCTCCACCTACCCCGTGTTGCACTTCGCACTCCACCCAGCCCCAAATCGCCTGGGAGTGCATGAAGAGTGGCACAAATGCCACAAAGGCCAAGAAGAAGCGCGGCACAAGGGGAGTCTCCTGCTTCCACCAGCCAGACTGGAACTGGCAGAAGCGAAACGTCCCATGATCTTGGGCTGAACTAGTCATGAACTACGGAAAGCTCCTGAACTAGTCATGAACTCATCATGAAGCAGTTATGAGCTCCTGATGAAACTACTCCAAGATGCTTTCTACTCGCAACAACTACCCCAGCTGCACCAGTTGGGAAAGGTTGAAGTTGGGCATCTCATGTTCTTTCGATTAATCTCTGTTGAATCAGCCGTCATGGGTTGATCAAACGTGCAACCCTAAAGAGTACTGTTCAAAGAAGAATTCCTCCTGCGCCATCTGGGACCTTTTGCGGAACAAAATTGAATTGAGTCCTACGTGTTTTTGTTCATGAAGGTATTGGAGGTGGTTCTCCATGTCTCTCTTTCAATCAGTGGCTGGTGCCGTTCCTTCCTGGCCATCAGGGCCATCAGGACCAAAAGTTAAATCCAAGGCGCCCGTGGTGTCTTCCAGAGAAAAAGAATTCAGCGGTTGGATTTCTGTGAATCTCTGAGACACACTCGCTGATGTCTCATCTCATCCATGGAAGTCACGTCGATGGCCATGGCCCCCAAAGACTCGGATCATCATGAAATCCGGTCTGACCAAACAGGTTGATGTAAACAGGTGGTGTTCACTCCCCTAAGAATTGGTGAGTGATTCCATCGGAGTGTAGATCTTCATCACAATTGAAGCACACAGCGCTGGGTGATCCTCTTTTAAAAAGATCGATTCCGGCAGTTCACGTCATTCACATCACAAGCAAGGCTTTTAGGAAAGTCCCTGTAGCTCCTGGCTTCCCTCTTTAATGGGGAATATGGATACCCCCGCGTCCTTAGCTCCCTCCTGAGCAACTAGATAGGAAGGCATCACAAGACTCAAGCTTCCAACCTCCCTACCTGCTGGTCTGTCGCGGCTCCTCATAGACGGAGCGCGTGCGGATGAACCTTTAGAGCGGCGAGTCGAGGACTGGACGAAGCACACGTCTGACCTTTGGGGTCAGTGCAACCAGCAGAGCTGGCAGCTTCACCAGCGCTGGGTGAACTGAGGTGGTCTTAGTTGAGCCTCCCACATCTTCGTCACCCCCGAAACGAGTCCCGGCGCCATGTCCAGGCAGCCGGCTGGGGCCCCACCCGCCCGCCGTCCTTCGAGGGAACTGACGGACCGGTCAGGTTGAGGAAGCCGGAAACAAGCACTTCTTGGATTGGCTTCAGGAACCTAAGAACATCCCCATGCCAGGGGATCTACCCAGCTCGGGAAGATGTTGAAAAAAGCGCCTGATAATTAAACCCGGACTTCGTGTGAGAGGCTGAGAGGCTGAAAACCAAAAGTGACACGTCTTCTCGGATCAAAGCGATGTCTTCAGGTGTTTCCAGCCCATCACATCCACTCGAATCTCAGAAAATAGATCAATACCATCGCCGCTAGCAGGGTTGATGCCTGCAACGGACAACAGAAAAGTAATATTGGCTTGGGGCCAAGGTGTGATTCGTCAGCTCAGGTGGACAAAGCAAAAGCTGGTCCCAGGCTCCGACCAGCCTCTCTGCCTGAATATCTAGCCTGTCTCGTTCCCTCTTCTCTCCGCAGGCCAGTAGTGAACGAGTCTTGCTTCATCGTTCCCGCTTCCCGCAGCGGCTGTCTGGTGTTCTTCCAGCAACAGTGACCGATTTTTTCTTCAGGATCCCCCCCCCCAGAGCTGTTTGGATAGCGTCAAACTAACATAAAATAACCAGGTCCTTTCAAACTTTCAAACAACCCCCCGCATTTTCTTGCCAAGCAGCATCGCTCCCAAAAACATGTACCACAGGCAAAAGAACGGAATGCCTCAGGATTGCCAGATGTGTCCAAACTTGCTTCACTGGACGGGTTCAGTTTGGTCTTCATTCAATTCGGTTTCCTCACTTGGATCCAAAAGTGACCCCAAACAAGTCATGAGAACATGGAAAACTGGTTCACCGACCTTGACCGCGCAACAAACCAAGCATGTAATTGGGTAACACAGCGTTTGCTTTCCGGGCGATGAGATAAGTGTGCTACTTCAAGGTCACGTTTCGAGCACCGTGCCATGTCTTTCACTCAACCCTTCGAGTCCTTGTCCCAAGTCGATTCCCCAACCTTCGGGGGACAGGTGTCTTTCATTCTCTTTGGTGCCGCTGCACGCGATGGTGGCAATCACTCTCAAAGAAAACACTTATTACGACCCTTCTGCGCACGCGGTGCGGTGCGTTTTCGAGGAAGGCTTTGTCGAGGCGGCTCCAAAAAAAAATCAAACAACGACTGTGTCCCAAGAGGCCAATCAAATCCTTGAAGGAATTCTTGGCTTTCAGCTCCTCTGCCGCTCCGCAAGTCACGGAGAGAAAGAAATAGAGAACGTCTACTCTTCAACTCTACTCCACACGGCCTGGTTGCGATGGTTTCACTACAGGTGTCACAACATTCTCATATGTTTCACTTGGGTTGTCATGTAAATACTGTTCTTAGCAGTTCCACGCTGGGTCCTCGAAACTGGACTTAAGGGTGCACAAATGTCCCAAAAGCATGCGTTTGAACCGCTTGAATCTGTTCCAAATCAATCAACTCTTGAAGTCATGTTTGCGATGTTCTCGGGGCTGGTGTCCACACCGCTGAAGGCGTGGCGCGGTTCAAGACTTCAAGACTTCGCCCTGAAGTCAACCTTTAAAGGTCTTTTTGGGCGTCCGCAACTGAAGAAGACGACGAAGAAGAAACCTCTTTCAGGAGTGGTCTTTTGTTCATGTCAAAGGTGATTTCGAGGCGTTGGTATACCTGAGATCCAGATCTTCCGGACTTCGAAGGCTTCGAAGGGAGGCTCGATCTCCAAAAGAATGGCGACCCCTTTGGTCAGGAAACTCTTCGAAAATCCGTCCTTCCTTTGGCCGAAAAGGCGGACTGGGACTCACTCCCCAGTCTACGCACCCCTCCCCAGCCGACAGCCTCTTGAGCTGCCCTTCCTTTCGCTGGCAGCTGAACTCCCACTTCCACACAAGTCCCGCAAGTCCTTCTCTTCAGAGGAATAGCCATCCCAAGTAGTTCCAAAGAGCTCCATGATGGACCCCCGATGCGCGTGCACACCACGGTCGGAAGAGATGTTTCGGTTCGGCGTACCCGGAAGTCAACGCCGAATAATTCCGTTCCGCACTGTGCGTGTGAAGTCAAGTTGAGGAAGTGGAAAATGCACGAAGATGCAGTGCAAGCTTTCTGACTGGGAGCTTTCAATTTGAGTTGTCTTTGTCTTTCGATGATCGAGTTGTCTTTGTCTGTGAAAAATCCCTGAATGCAACTGCGGTTGGTAGTCTGACAAAGTCTGACTCCCCTTCACTCGAATAGAGGTTTTGCATAGCGGAAGGTTTGGTATGTTAGATTTGTGTACACCTGGAGCTCACTAGCATGTGATGTACTTGTTGAGTCGTGGGAAGCTACCTCCCTTGCTGGAGGAGAAGGAATATTTCTGGCCGTCCTGGTCCATGCTGCGGTGGAATCGCGCGGCGGGAAAGAACAACACGAAGTTTCACCCCCCATGAACCTCAGTCTTCTGTTGAATCAAACATCCACAGACACTCGTTCTCAGTCTACGGACGATTTCGTTGCATACACCTCAGATTCCAGAAAGTCAGCTTCACCAGTTGGCAACCAGTTGACCCTTTTCAAACACAAAACCCTCCGGAAGAACCGGGGGTGTTCCGGGTCTTCCGGTTCTTCCCAATGAGCTTCGTGGTGGACTATATATAGTTGGATAATGTGGGATAGATCTTCTGGAGCAGTGAAAATGAAAAGAAAACATCGCTGTCTCTCTCTCTCTCTCTCTCTCTATCTATCTATCTATGGTGTGTTTTCGCTTGCTCTACTCAGTGACTCCAATTGTGAGAATTCCATGAAACAGATTCATCCCCAATGAAACATGGCCATGGACACCTGCCAAGTCCAACAGGATTGGAAAGATCAGCTACGCAGCTACTCCCATGTCGACTCAAACATCGCAAGGTGCTTGCATTACCGACACCCCCGAGGATATCTCAAGCTGGCTTCGCGAAAAAAAGGGATGGATGGCACATCCAAATATGGACCAATCTGCGATCATCTGCCAAAACTGACATGCAGCTGGAAAAGAATAGCCACTGTAGTGGAGGATGGCTTTCAGGCAGAATGGGGCTTTTGGTGTACAGTGACAGAAAATCGGACAGAAAAGAAGTCAACCGACCTAGCCACCCTCAAACCATCAAAGGAGATAAGACTTTTTCAAGGACACCCATAGATACACTCTGACCTACTATCATGGAAATGGAAAAATCGGTTCCGGGAAAACGCTTTGATTTGCTCGAACTGGGGGCGGTGCCAACAGAGGTTTTTTCAGAACCCTAGTTCGATCCCAGTTGGGTACTTTCAGGTGATTATTGGTCCTTTTTCAGGTCATTGGCTACCTCCGTTGGACCCATTCACTCACCCACCCACCATGCTTCGGCCGCCTGCTTCTCCAGCTCCGCCGCTCGGGACACCAGCAGCTCCTCGGCCGCGGCGTTTCGACGGTTTCGACGTGCAGAGGACGAAAGTTGAATGGAACAATACACCCCGGAAGAGACCCACATGGAACCTGAAAACCACGTCGGGTTGTAGATGAAAATAGTCTCCAGTCTCAGGTTCCATGTTAATCTTCGGGGGTGTATGCAGTCCAATCGCGTTCCATTGATGTCGATGTCAAGTCAAGGGATTGAAATCGAGGATCTGAAACCGCTAATGACAAGACAAATGGGGACCTCTCACACAACCCATTAAAATCAAAAAAGACACGTCGTGTGTCATTTATCCTAGGACCTAGGTCTCAACGCTTAGGTCGTCAGAACGGGTCCACATGAGTCCTCGTTGTCAGAAAAAATTCGAGCCATGTTAACTCTCAGAGATCCCCAGTCAGGCCAAAGCAATGAGGTTGGGGAGTCTCCATTCAGAGCCCCGTAGACGTCAATCGGGGTGTTCATTCCAACTACGCGTAAATGTCTGCCTTTTTGGATGGCTTTATAGATGAACATGCATAAATGTTGCACAGGCACAGTTGGAAGATCCAGGTGTAAGTATAAAGTACATAGTGTCTAAAGTCGAAAATCTCATGTATGTATAAAGCATGTATATTAATCTTCATGCGTGCAGTATGTATGATGCGGCACCAAGGTTTTGCCGAACATCTCCCCGAGAAATGACAAAATATGGTGCAACCCAAATGTTAAGCAATGTCAGCAGGATCCTGACAACAAAAATACACAAGAATACACATTCCGTTTGTATTATACATGGCTTGGATATAACATGATATATATAATAGTGATACAACTATCCTGAGTTTACACGCGCAACGAAAGTTCAATCGACACTCGAAGTTCGTGAACCGTGAAAACGCTCGCAGCGAATCTTTTCAGTGGAAGGCGCGCCACTATGGCTTCAAGATCAAACGTAAAGGCGCGCACCCACCCAAATCTTGAGACGGGAAGGTGCCACAGAAACACAAGTCACGCACATGACCTCAAGGCACACAGTTTCGTGCCGAAACTTGAAATCGGGGAAAGTCATTCCCGAGTCATTCCCCTGAACTCGAAGCACCTCGCAGCACACAGCGATTGCATGGTCTTCGGCAAATCCTGTTGCTGCCACCACAAGTTCGCAACCGATGCCAGCACTCTCTGTTCGGAGTCACATAGATGGGACCGGCAGGTCCTGAAATGCTCTGAGACCTGAAAAGCCGCACAGCTTCATTCGCCACTGCAAGCTCTCCTTGTAGCCGCTGATTTTCATCCTTCACTCGAGTCAGCTCTCGCTCGGTCTTCTCAAAGTCCTTCAGGATGGAATCTTTCTCTTTCTCCAAATCGTCTTGCTCCTTTTCAAGCTCCCATATTGTGAGCTTGAGCTGTGAAATCTCTTCATCAGCTTTTGACTGTTGCGATGTCTTCGACATTGCAAAACATGCAAGCAAGAAGTTTCCACCAAACCACAACAATGTAACAATGCCAACTAGGGCGGTTGCCATGAACATCTCAAAGGTGCCGAACGTCCAGTCCTCATGAGTGAAAGCTTCGGCTCCCGTCACCTCTCAGGCCATCACAAGCGCAATGAGTGCCTGCGCAACCTCTGACTTGGTCTGTCTGGTTTCAGCCACAGCGCTAGCTCTCTCCTCCTTTGACTTCTGCTTCGCCGCCATGAAATTCATGCTGGCCACAAGCTGCACATGACTGCCAGAATACCGCTCGACAAAAGCCTGCCGAGCACCGATCTTCGTCAGGCCATCTGACAACTGTCTCTCGCTCGAGGCCCAACGCCATTGGCACTTCAAATCAGCCAACAAACAGCCCTTCGATTGCAACACGCTTATCAGCTGCCTGCTGAATGGTCTCCCTTTGTACTGCATCATACAATGCATTGCAATCAAAAGCTCTTCAAGCGCTGTTGCGCATGCTTGGCACTCTGCAGCTAATGAACTCCGGCAAACCGTGGGGACTTTGAAGGAACGCCATGAGATGGTTGAAGCTGGATGCTTTTCACCTTGCAACACTCGCTTGTCGCAGGCCAGAATGACAAAACCTCCCTGCGAAGTCTTGTCAGACCTAACGCCAAAGGCGGCATCAGCATAACAGATCAAACAAAAATCTTTCAACCACCTCTTGTCCTCCTTGTCCACAATGGCGGGTGTCCAAGAAACTTCAGTGTCACTGCAGCATTCGACTTGGCAAATCGCAATGTTTTGTTCAACTCGCGAAGATTTGCGACTGTGCCCTTTGGAATCTCGCCAGCCTGGATGCTCATCGAGGCACAAAGAATTGGCATGCCCTGAGTAGCTGGCCACTGCAATGCACCGATCAGGCCTCTGGCTGAACTGACTTCTGCTGGACTGACATTGTCGGCATCTTTCCGCTCACGGCGGATTGTCATGGGACAAATCTTCTTGATGTACTCCTCATAGCTAACTTCAACGCCGAACTGTTTGTTTTGAATGACTCCTCCACAATACTTCAAGCTCTCGGACTCGGTCAACTCATCCCACTTGCCAAAGTTGAAATTTGAATGGAGGTTCTCAGGTCTCAACGGCTTGCAAAACTCTTTGTTCGACTTGCTGCCTGTCAACAACATATCGTCAACATGCAAAATCAAAAGACCGATCAGCTCGTCACTCTTGGCGGCTGTAAGCATGAAGCAACATTGGTCGAGGGGATGACTTATCCAGCATCGAGGGCTCAATCTTGCCGCTGCCTCCTGGAACCAAAGCAGAGGTGCATCACAAAGCCCATAGGCGCTCTTCTTCATTTTCATGTACAAATGTTTCTGACGCACTCGCTCCTTGCCTCCCTCAACAAGTGGAAGACAATCCATGGGCAAACGAACAACCAAGACTCTGTCAAAACCTTTTCCAGACAAAAATGCAGCTTGAACATCGGCACAGTAGACTGCCCAGCTCATCCAGCTTGCAACTGCCAAAAGAAAGGTCCTGCTGGTTCTCCCGGCTGTTGGACTTGCTGTCTTCATGTTCAGGATGTCGGGATCCTGAAAGCCTCCAAGCACAAGACGTGCCTTGGCCTTCCATCTTGGATTGCCGTCTTCTGTTTCGAGCTTCTTCCAAGTCAGCACCCATCTTGCACTGACAGGAAGCTGAGTGAGATACACTTCCTCAATGGACAGGTCATCATCACTCTCTGGAACTGGAATGGCTCCTCCTCCAAGATCACCTGGGAACATGGGAACTGATGGCATTGCACGAGCAGATTTCCCGGGAGGCTCATCTGCAGAAGCTTCAGCTTTCTTCCTCTTGGGGCTTGTCGGAACTGCAGCCTGGGTTGCTTCAGCTTCCGTCGGGGCCATGGTTGTCACTGACTCACGACGTTTGGGCGTTCTCTCTCTGTCTTCTGAAGGCGAAGAAGGAAAACACTGACAACACCTGGAACATTGGGCTCCTCTGCATCAACTCTCGATTCCGGTTCATCCTCTGATGCATCACGCTCCGAAGGCTCATATTCAGCATCTAACTCAACATCGTCACCTTCGAGCTCATCTGCTTCATCAGCTTGGCCACTGCGTCGAAGCTCATCCCGGAATTGGGTTGTGCTCCGGGCTTTCAACTCTTGCAGATCTCTCAATGCAGCTTGGCGATCAGCAGGAACTGGCATACCTGTGTCCTCCACCATCGGGCGAACTTGTCGGGCACCACACCTGAGAAGCGATGTACCATGACAAAGCCAGTAAACATTGACACTGGGCTGTTCCTCAATGGCAACAATTCGGGCCGGACCACGCCAACCCTGCTTCTGTAGGCGTCGCAAGTGCTTGTGCCAGTACCAAACTTTCTGGCCATCTTGCATCTCAGCAAACTTCTGAGTGAAAGCTCTTCGCAACTTGGCATCTGAGTCGGCAGCAATGAAGGCACGAGCTGCCTCAACACGACGAGCCTGAACAGCAGCAAAGGCTCCTTGCTCATCAATCGCTTCCTGTGCAGGATTGACTCTGACGTCAGCACAGTCCATCATAGCAAGGTCTCCGGAATAGGTGGTGGATCCTGTGGATTGCGATGCTCCTGCACCTGACATGTAGTGGCCCTCAAAGCAAAATCAGCTCCGCGCCACCACCAACGAAAGTTCAATCGACGCTCGAAGTTCGTGAACCGTAAAAACGCTCGCAGCGAATCTTTTCAGTGGAAGGCGCGCCACTATGGCTTCAAGATCAAACGTAAAGGCACGCACCCACCCAAATCTTGAGACGGGTAGGTGCCACAGAATCACAAGTCATGCACATGACCTCAAGGCACACAGTTTCGTGCCGAAACTTGACAACGTGCAAAAAAATAAAAGAACAGGACCGTCTCAGAAAACAGGTCCCCAACAAGAGCAAACCTCCAGATCCTCTCTTTATTAAAGAACAAGACTGAACCGAGTTCCAGTTTCGGGTTTGCACACACGGAACAGCAGTGCAATGTGAAGAACTTGAAACTGACACTTGAAGACACCTGGACGTCTGACGAATCCTGTTTACACCCAAGCTGGCCCGAACTCATCAACATGTAGAATCCTTCAACGCTCCAAGAAACATCCATCCTTTTTCTTGCAGCTCCTGGCCTGGCCTTACTACCAGGAACAAGAAGCTACGAACGTAACAATTGGCATCGCTACCCACGGAGCAAAGGGCATTGCCACTATTGTAGCAAATAGCTACTATAGGGCACCAAGATCGGCCAAGTCGCACGGCTCTCAGGCGACAGTTGCAGCTTCGGTCGCCACTGCTGCCGCAGCCACCGCAACGCCGCAACCGCCGGCACCGCGCCCGCGGCCTCCGGCGCCTGGTCGGAGCACGTGGATTGTGCGTGTGTTGATTTCTTTTGGTTTTGTGGTTTATTGTTTTTTGTGTTTTTGTCTGGTGTTGTGTGTGTGTTATTTTTGTGTTGTCTTTTGAGAGTCCCCTTTTGTGAACCTGCTTCAGTCGCGGCGCATGGCGCAGGAGAAGACGCAGCTGGAGGACATCGTTTCACTTTCTCTTCTTGTTGTGATTCTAAGTATAGCTCAAGCCGTTCCTATCCGTTGTTGCGCATTGAGAAGGGGCTAACGAGGTTTCTAGTTCCAGCCTGCATCGGTGATTCAGTAACTGAAACTTGCTCTTGCGAGCCCTCTAAGTGTTTTAGGAGGCACTAGCACCAGGTCAGGAGACTCAGTTCCAGTTCCAGCCGGACTAGATCCAGATTTCCACCCGTCGTTAACTCGAATAAAGAAGACCTTGGCCCTCAGCAAAAAGAATCGGACATGACATCCAGCCGGTTCGCCTTTTCTGCGAATTGACCCTCCCTGCAAGAAACATGGGAAAAGGTAGAGGCTCATGTGTGGTAAGGATTTCATGGATCTTTCCAGGGTCCACGCCAGGCACTGAGGATGTTTTTCAGGCTCATGAGCCTCGATCGCAAATCCCCGTGAAGCTACCGATCGGTGTCGTCTCTCTGTGGGCCTTCCGATCCCCCTGGCCCCAAGGAGCCTTCGGTTCGGACGACGTTTTGGACCAGTCCACCTGAGTCCATCCAACGCCTAAGCCTACACGCCCATTGAGCTCGAATTGAATCCCTGAGCTCTTGGGGCGCTATTTCCACAACCCTCACGGATCTCAAAAGACTGCAGGATGTGCATGCAAAGCGATCTGCTGATAGCACACTGCCAATCCGGATTGGCTGTCTGACAACACTGGTTGATGGGGGAAGATGCCAAGAGATGTTCAACCTACTCCATTCTAAAACTCCCCTGGAATGCCAGTGGTCAAGGACCTTTGTCCTCTTGCTAACCTGAAAACCTTCGATCTTGTGCTTGGCCAAGATCCATGGTTTGGTGGAAAAGGTTTTGACTCACAGCCCACAAAAAAATAAAAACACTCCCACCGCCCCGCGGCAGCCCGGCAGACACCTCATCCGATTCCGCCATCGGTGGCGTGCGAACAACACTCCAAGGGAGAAGGATTCTAATGATGTGACGGTCCTGAGTCTAGTCAAGTGGGTTGAAATCCGGAGTTGCCACGGGGTGGACAGGGAGAATTTTCGGATAAGGATCATCAGGCTGTTGGAGGCCAGACGCGGCCTGATCGCGGCCGTCCCAGCGTCGAAACATGTGTTGAGGATGTCCCACGTCGCCGTCGGGCTGGGGGAACTCCCGTTCCACGTCGCCGTCCGCTTCGAGTGGAGCGGAACTCCCACTTGTTTGGGGTGGAAGGATGGAGTCTTGGATCCTCTGGCTCGCAAAAGCTAGAAACCCCTCACGGGGGGGGGGGTGCGAAAAGGCTTGAAAGGGCGTTTTGCGGCATGTGTATCAAGAATCCTGAGCCATGATGATGCTTGATAATGACCTAGCCTGCTGGAATGCTGCGTTGCCGCTCCCACAATCACTCAACAATCACTCTGAATACATGCTATGTATGATTGATCGAAGGCATGGTGTTCTTGGCGTTGTTTGTTTTGTCCAGAGGTATGCAGTCTATCCTTCAAGAGCAATCTTGAGCACACAACTTGGCTGAGACAACGGCACTCCGGTTCAGCAGCTTGGGATGGTGGTGCTCGGGCGATCTTCAACCGTTCTTGCATGGTCTGATCAGCAGGTGCGGGGGGGTGAAACATCTGTCATCCCGGAGTTCCGTTGGTTGCGGAAAACCATCAGAGTTGCCGCGGCGTTTCCCCCCCCCGAAACCGGAGAAAGAGTACCTATAGGACCTATAGAGGATCAAATGCAACGGAAGATCTCTTTTCGGATCACCCGATTTAGACCAACGGTTCGAAAAGATAACCTGTGGATCCCTGGATTTGGGGAGAGCTCCAAATCATGAAGATCAGGCTCCGAGTTTCTGGAAGACCCAATTTCTCCCCCGTCAATCCCAAAACGAAAAAGGGACGATTGAACAACAGGGGTTCACTCCTTCCGCCGTGTTGTAGGGGAAGCCATTGTAGTGTGTGTGTGTGTGTCATCTTCGGTGCTTCCTCGGCTCTACACCCTGGCCGCCATGAAGCCATCATGACAAGGTCCCAGGTTTGGAAAATGGCCCAAGGGGTCCTTGAACAGCAAAGCTGCAAAACTCCTTGAAGAACTCTGCCATGAGAAAAGCCCAAAAGAAGGTCTTCCACTATTCTGTGGCATGGTCTTTGCCGCAGGTCCCTTCGCAAACAACCCAGTCCGAAGGAGGTTGCATCAAGATTGTGCGTGATATCCTTAGAACTGAACATCAGAAGAGACGTTACACTCTATGTATGTTGTCTTTCAAGTCCCATCTGTGGTTGTGCTTATCACAACATCAAGGACCTTCGTTGTACTCCGTGACTTGCTCCAGATCAACACCCTGTGGTTTTGGGAGCCTATTTGATGTTGAAGCAAATTCATCTAGCTTGACCCCAACATAGATAGAAAGTGACAGGTTAGCCAGCAAAAAAGGGCGATATACGTCTATATATATATATATTCCTATACCTCTAAACCCAGGTTCTACCTCTAGAAATCCCTTAGAATCTTTGGTTTTACCAAATATCTCAGTCCTTCCCATCCCTTGCCATCACCCCCAAGCTCTCCCATAGGTTGGCTAGGCACCAGGAGACGTGCTCCACGACGCAGGGATTCAAGCCTCGTGGTGAAGGACGTGGAGGGAACCTGGGGGTAGTAAGAATGCTCCCTTCGTAGCGATGCCAGGAGCCCCGTTCGTAGCGTCCTCTTGCTCCGTTCATAGCGATGCCCTTTGTTCCGATCGTAGCTTCTTGTTACTAGGGAATGTGCAGAATACACTTGGCAGATTCGAACATCATCTGAAAGCTTGCCAATGGAGATCTGCGGCTCAAAGGCTGTCTCCGTCTACAAGGGACTTGGCTTCCCCCTCCCCCCAAAAAAAA